TCCTCCCCCAGCCATTAATTTCTTTAGGCTACATTTAACCGTGGCATACCAGGAATTTTTCGGCTGGAATTCCGGCAGACTGCCAGTCGAACAACCACTTGCAAAAATTTCTATGACGAACGAACATAAGCCAAGTGTCCTCACTTATCCTAATGACCACTGCCCAAATATTTCTTACATTTCACGACGCCGCGAGCAAACTATCTCTTCTAAATCTTAATCGACATTTGAAGAGGAATTTTTCCCAAGCTCTACTTACTATACCTATTCACCATCAACATAATTGCTTTCGTAATTTCGTGAAAGAATGTTTCTAATGAATCGTTTCCTGAATTCACCATAAAATGTTTAAACACAGAAGAAGCATGTTTTCTATTACAATTAAAACACGGAATAGAGTCATTGTTACTGAATAATAAATTATCGAGTAACTTGAATCGTTGAATAACATAAAATTAAAAAATGAAGATTGAACGTAACGATTTTTCTGTTACATTTCAGGTGAAAAATGGCACTTCCGCAGGAAGTTGATGACGCCAACCTTTCACAGTAATCTCCTGGAAGTGTATTTGAAGACAGCGATCGCAGAGGGTGAAATATTAATCTCCTGTCTGAGAAAGGAAGTCGGTAAACCACTATTCGACATTGTTCCATACGCAAAACGTGCAGCACTGGACATAATATGCCGTAAGTTATACTTCATTGATATAATCTCGTGCAAGTTGGGAAATTCCGAGTGTTATTCCGTCTGTGAAGCTTGAAACTACCGCTTTACGTTCAAACTCAGTCGAGTCGTTTTAAAAGAAAATTTATTACAAACCGAGAAAAATTTTAATAGAGCACATATCCACGTACTGGGTGTCTCAGCAAGATCCAAACACCTAAATATCTCCTTCATTTCAATAATGGTAAAAGATATTTAAGAGAATACAAGATGCGTTAGAAAAACAATTTTTCCGCGAAAAAGAAAAAAAAAAGTACCAATGAAAAATTGAAAAAAATAGCCATAGAGAAAATTATTTTCTGCGAAAAGCATAAGGAAATATCAACGAAGAATTGAAAAAATTGAAAAATTAAGAAAAAATAATTTTCTGCGATAAGCATGAAAACAGAGCAACGAGAAATTGAAAAAATTGAAGAATTAACAAAATTAATTAGCCATAGAAGAAAATTACGTCTTAAACAATTTCCAGCGTCGTTAAAAAGCAAAGCAGATATTTAGGTGTTTCTCTAAGACACACTGTATATTTTTGTATATATAAATCACTTTTGTGCAGTACTCCTATTCTCCAGTTGCATTCACATTTCGTGACATACCTCCAACATTTCTGCGTAAAAGAAACTACGTTTGCGTATTACAGCATAATCGCAACCCGGAAGTAAAAATGATGCAATCGTTACAAATCACGACTATGTAATTTCATAGATATGTCTTAATGATCCAATAATTATTCTAATTGTCTTAGAACTGGCAGAATTTATGAACCTGTCCGTACAGTGAAATACGATTCGTCAATTCCACCGTGATTTAATAACACAGATTATCACAATAAAACAACACATTGCACATCATTCCGAGGGAAACGTCGTTACGAAACGTCGTCGGGACAACTGTTACTAAGAATGTTGACGATTTTTCTTACTATTCTTCAGTTTCAAGCCGACCATAATGATCGTTTTGTCGGAATTCGAGATTTTCACCGGATGTTCCTTCTTTTTCTTTCCCATTTTTCCATCGTTTTGGAGAAACGGACCGTATTTATGATCTGACATTTTCTTTACACGTTTCACGTAATTCCTGAAATAATACAATTTCCTTTCATGCAATACGTTTCTTTCGTCGATCATTTAAATTAACTGCGTTATTATTTTTGAAAATTTTTCTCATTTGCATAAAATTAATCGAACAATTACGAAGAACTTTTACTAACAAATTGGAGTTTTCTAATTTCAATATTACCATGACTTCTCTTTGCACGACTTCGATTTCCTTCGATTCGAAACCTTCAATCTCCGTTTCTTCTTTGGTTTCGATAACTCAATTATACGCTGAGTGGCTGCAAAAATATTCAATTTTCCAATCATTTTACCATAAGAGCTGGTTATCCAACGATTCAAATCAAATTTTTGCTTTTTTCCCCCAACCGACTGAATTAATTTCACATAATCATTAATGTGGAAAAAAGAAGGAAAAAATTTTAGGTACGTGAGCTGATAATATTTCAGATTAAGAGGATTTAAAAGCATCAGAGATACTATAAACACTTTTTTTGTTTCACTGTAATATATTTTTTCGCTTACACTCGGGATTAACACATTTTTCCAAATTTATCAACATTATAAAAAGAAATATATAAACGTGTTCTTGAAATATATTTAAAAGGATATATTCGTACAGTATTTAAACAAAAAAAGGCATATTTTTAATGCGTTTTAATGCAAAGGATCCTTTAAACGCTAGAAAAATCGACCGGGTCAAAATTGGTAACTTTCCAAAAGTGAATTTTCAAAAAATTGAAAACTGAGAAACGAATTTGTAACAAATTACATTCACATCGACGCAAACACAAAGTCCGAAAATTACAAACAATAAAATACCAGCATCGATTTTTTTTTGGGTCATTTTTGACCCGGCCACTGGTTTTACTGTTAAAATACCAACCGACTGCCGTGAGAGCACTGCGTGGAACGTATCCGATCGGTTTAGAGGGATACTGATAAGGTACCCTTGGCCTTGAAAGCTCGATGATGCGCGGTGATGCCTTTAAAATCTGCAATGCATTAGTCCTAGCTTGCAATAATTTCTCATCGGCACTACGAACACGTGGCTGAGCTAACTGATTAGTACGCTCGGTGATTTCATAAAGGAGAGCCGATGCTTTCACCTGTTATAAAAGAGACAAGAACAATAGCTTCTTTCCATATACACTCCCGTTCAGAAGTATTGAGACACTTATCGAAAGTGAACTAAATCAAAACAGTCATTATATATCGTCACTTTAATACTACCGCTAAATAATCCATAGCTCCATTCATAAATTAAAGAGAAAGGCAATAATTAAATTTCTATCCTTTTTTCACACTTATTTCCCCAATTTTCGTAAATTGAAATTTTCTAGATAAAGTGTACCAGAATTCCTATTTTCCTTGCAACTGTGGTATGCTAAAAGTGGACAACTCCAGCAGTACTTGGAAATATCAATATCAAATTCAAATATCAAATATCAAAAAATATTAATGAAACGAATTTGAAAACCATAAATTAAAAATTTTTTAATTTTTAAAAATTCGAAACCATAAATTAAAAATTTCTAAATTTTAAAAACCACAAGATTCTGCGGTCGCGATTGAATATCTATCGTCTACCACGCACCGTTGCATACTAAAATCTGCCTCAGCGAAAGGGTTGAAATGTCTAATTACAGTATTGACTCTTTCACTTCTCACTCGAGTACTCGAACAAAAATTCATCTCAATTCAGTATCCATTACAACGAAATGATCGGCAGAAAAGTAACAAATTCTCCAAAACATTAATTCGGTCGCGAAAGGGTTAAATTAAGGATACGACGCTAATTTTGAGGAAGGAATCTGAATCATGATAATGCTTCCTGTAACAGATAATACTTATAAACAACAGTGTACATCTTTCGTGCTAGAGAAATGCTGTTTGCAAATGCAACGTGCCAATTGCGCATAGAGAAAAGCAAAACGGAAGAAATTAAGTCTGCGAGGCCTTAATCGAATATATCCCGTGTCTCTGTTCTGCATTAAAATAAAACCATTGTTCAACGTGATCGCAACCGTTTAAAATGAAAGTCATGCTCCTACGTGGCTAGGTTCCAAGAAAATATCATTGTACGCTCTGCTCGTCTTCGATTTTACAATTCTCGAGGCGACGTTCAACGCTTTCCGCTTTGATGCCGCTTTCAGAGGATTCTCTTTAGGCAGATCATCCGAGACCAAAATTGATTTCTCGCTCTTTACATTTCCGGATGATTTCATAAGCCTGTCCGCGAACGTTTTACCGAGGCCGTTAAACGATTCGGTCGAATCCCAGTGTCGAGTAGTGAGTAACGTGGCCATTTCCTTCATGTTTACGTTCAATATGTCACTTAAACAATTTTTCCTATAATCCACACAATACGTATTCTTTTTTTTTACCAATTTTTCTTTATTACACGTGATATTGCCTGTTATGTACAGAAATTTTATTGGGTCGAATGTCTTTTCATTGCCTCCTCGGACCATAATCGAATTTATAGTCCACTCTTAGTTTGCATTAACCCTTTCGTTGTTATTGGCGCCTCGCGTTTCGAAAATTTGCTTGCACTATACTTAATTTTATCGTTTGCACACTTTCGCCTTTATTTAATAAACCGAATTTTATAACGATACGGCCAAAAAGTAAAACAAATTTTGCGACCGTGATGAAAAATTTACCATCTGTCACACATGTTACGTATTAAAATCTGCCGTAGCGAAAGCGTTAAAAAGTAAGGGGTGAATTTTTCATAAAAATTGTAAAATTCTGTTTTCGTCAAAATTGCAAAATTCACTTGTTTGTCAAATTTTCCTTTCCCCTTATTACAGACAGTTCCATGGGATGCAACATCAACGCGCAAACGAATTTAGAAAACGAATACGTACAGGCCGTGAATATGTAAGTGTATTTTATATAAAAAATTTTATATCTCCAGAAAAAATGAAAGTTAACTAAACTACATTTTTTCCAGGTTAGCTTCAATCTCGCAAAGAAGGTTTCTCAACATTTGGATGTCCTTCGACCCGATCTTCAAGTTAACATCCTGGGGGAAACGACATGATCACTCGCTTCGTGTCATCCATACATTTGTCAATAAGGTAAATATTTCCCTTCGTGTTTCATTTAAATACAAAATTAATACGAACTTAAAATATCGGTATGTGATAAAATGAATATTTCTTACTATTACTTTTCCCTCCTTTTTTTTTATAGATAATCATGGAGAGAAAAGCTGAGTGGAATGAAAAAAAGAATGGAAATTTCAACGAGTCGGCACCTAAGCGTCAAGCTTTGTTGGATTTGCTGTTAGAAATGTCGCAGGACGGCAAAGTGCTCACTGACGAGGATATTCGGGATGAGGTGAACACGTTTATGTTCGCGGGTCACGATACCACTGCGACTAGCGTGTCTTGGATCTTGTATGCCTTAGGAAGGCATCCTCAGTATCAGGTATTGAAATTCTACGTAATGTCGATCACGTAAACAAGATATTAGCGAAGTTGACATTTTTTGAAATTATAATTAAAATAATTCGAGTGAATTTTCATTTCATCGACAACGGTGTATTAAATAATAATTGTTTATTATTCTTTGGAAATCGTGATTTCACAATCATCACTATGTATCGTGTCTGGGAGAATTAACGATTTCAATATGCAATAGTTTTATTAATTTTTCATCGCAGGAGAAAATTCTTGAACAATACAACGAGGTAGTAGGAACAAAGGAACTCACGTTAGGTGTACTGAGTAAACTAACTTGGCTAGAAGCTTGTATAAAAGAATCTTGGAGAGTGTATACAGTAACGCCACTTATTGGGAGACAAATTTATCGACCTATTTCTATTCGTAAGTATACATTTATAATTAAATTTATTATTAAATGTATTTTTATTTAAATTTATTATTATTTAAATTACATTCAAGTGAGTGTTTTTTAATTTTGAAAATTTTATATTCAAAATAGAATATTTTTCAAGCCATTTTGTTTTTAGTGAGACACGATATTTCATTTCTAGACTTTTACTCATTTTTATTCATTTAATTTTAGTAGGACACGATATTTAATTAAAAATCTTTAATTCATTTTTATTCGTTTGTTTTTAGTGGGACACGAAATTCCAATAGGATCGACGGTCATCGTCAATACGTTCCTTCTTCATCGTGATCCACGATACTTTTCAGACCCAGAAACTTATCGACCAGAGCGATTTCTTCCGGACGGTCCTAAATATCCTTCTTACGCTTTTATACCCTTCAGTGCAGGTTCCCGTAATTGTGTAGGATGGAAATATGCCACGATGATCGTCAAAGTTCTCATTCTGAATATATTAAAAAACTTCCGAATCGAATCTGTCGATACCGAGGATCAACTTCGGTTTATTTGCGAACTGGTGTTGTGCAATGCTAACGGACTACGGTTAAAAATTACACCACGAACGCAAGCAACTGTTACGTAGTTATCTTCCAATGGTAAACTGCGCAAGAAGTAAAAAAGTCGAAGGTACACGAAAGGTCTTCGAACTTGAAGGAAAAGGCTGATTTCTTCTGCATATCGGAGTCACAAAGATCATATTTTGTGATAAAAATGATAATATTAGTGTAATCTGTTCGCGTTAATTGTGACAATCATTCGTATTTATTTAAAAAGTGACAGATATTGTAGGGAATTAGATTAGAAGAATTTGCGATTAATATGAAATTTCTAACCTCAAATTGTGTCGTAGTATGTAATAGTTCAACGAATATTTACTGCAATTTTGTTTTAATTGTACTTTACTGTTTTCAAGATTAAGAAATATAATAACGCGAGGAAGGTTTTTCACACTCTTCTTGCACAGTTGTTTAACGTCTTTCGAAAAAAAAAGAGCACTAACTATTTGAAAGTGCTTGTTATACGTAACTTTTAATATCGAGACAATTTCAGTCACTAATAACT